CAAGTGTACATGTGGGGTTAAATCTGATCTAAATATTTCTTGTTTCATGTTTCATGTTTAATCCTAATAAATCAAAGATATGTCAGCACCATGAAAGAAAACTACCTTCACTAACAGCCCTTTTATATAGTCATTTGACCAATGGAAATACTGTTTCTACATAACAGGTTACAACCTTGTAACTTTGGCAACTGTTGGTGGGCCAAATGAAATGGCTTGGTGGGCCAAATTTGGCCCGCGGGCCCCACTTTGGGCTCCTCTGCTTTAGACTTTTTCTGGCTGTTTTATCACTTGGTTCTCTCTCTGCTTACACAAGCTTCTTAGCTGAGTTATTTATTGTGAKGTTATTTTTGTCCAGTTTAGAGAGCAGATTATGGCGTGAAACCTCTCACTCAGAAATCTCACTGAGAAAAGATGGATCCACACCAGGTTCTTTGTCGTCCAGCCATGACAGGTCATCTGAGCTGATCTCAGTGAGGCTCGGGGTCGGGCTGAAGTCCTCCCAGTCAGACCCTTCTGTTCCGAACACCTTGTCGTGGCTGTGAGGGACTGGTGGTAGTGGGGCCGCTGAAGAGAACAGAAAATATGGGTACGAATTTGATTTGATGTTGGGGGCGGAGTCTGAGAAGGGGGCGGGGCTCACCTGATGTGTGAGCAGACAACAGAGATGTTGGTTCCTGCCCTCGGAGAARGAGACTCCTCACCTGAGCCTTCAGTTCTGACACCTGGGTTCTGTTGTGAACATTTAATGTAAGAAATCACTCGGTTGTGAGGCTTCAAACACTCTCAGAACGTTCTAAAAAGTAAAAGTTCTGAGGAAATTTTTTACCACGAGATCCTCTCTTTTCAGAACAAATATTTTCTTTGTTCAAAACTGAATAACAAAACACATTAAGTGACTTRAATCAGTGGATTTTTAAGGTTGATCCAATAATAAACAACATAATTTATTTACACAATCAAACAAAATCCCTACAGTATTTGTGAGCAATCAAATTTCCTATAAAAGTTTAACAAACTTTTAGGCTTAGATGTTAATAAACCATTTGTTTGTGGCACATTTCTTTCAGTTTTGGCAGGGCAGGTTTCAGAGGAAAGAAAGGAGGAGGAAGAGGATTAGTTTTTAACTTTATCCTTTAAAGGGATCCATGATTAGTTGTAACATTAGACTTAATTRGATAAACTTTTATTTAACTGTAAAATAAAGACTTTAAAAATACTGTAGGATGTTTAGTTTTGTAAATTTTTAAAAATATATTGTAACATGGACGGAGCCATTTTATTTCCACACAAAGCATTCTGGGTAAATGATGACGTGGATAGGTCCTAGGTGCGAGGCTGCTAGCGAGCTATATCCACCCTGAAGGTTAATCTTGGACAATATCTGATGATCGACTCTTTTAAATGAAACCAGAGAGCGTTGACAGAGAGGAGAAGGTAGAAATGACTCAGCCTGGGACTGAAAATATGGATGGAGGACAACAGAGCTGCTTCATGGAAGAACAACCTCAGATTAGCCTGTTAGCTTTAGCGTTAGCCCTGATGCTATCACCATATATATGTATTAGCTCAGCGCTACACATCCTCCTCTCATCACTGAGGTCCTCCATCCACATGACAGAGAGGAACACAAAAATGACTCAAGATGGAGGACCTCAGTTTAGCTTATTTGTCGCGCTAGCACTTAGCTAAGGCAATTTACAGTGGGCGCTAGCATGAAGGCTAGCAGGCTAAGCTGAGGTTCTTCTTCCATGAAGCAGCTCTGTTGTCCTCCATCCATATTTTCAGTTCCAGGCTGAGTCATTTCTACCTTCTCCTCTCTGTCAARGCTCTCTGGTTTCATTTAAAAGAGTCGATCATCAGATATTGTCCAAGATTAACCTTCAGGGTGGATATAGCTCGCTAGCAGCCTCGCACCGAGGACCTATCCACGTCATCATTTACCCAGAATGCTTTGTGTGTAAATAAAATGGRTCTGTCTGTTTTAAAATATATTTTAAAAAATTTACAAAACTAAACATCCTACAGTATTTTTACAGTCATTATTTTACAGTTAAAATATATGTTTATCAAATAAAGTCTAATGTTACAACTAATCGTGGATCCCTTTAAAGGAGGTCTCCTGAGACCAAGGTCAAAGACAGGTGGAACTGTTTATTCCACCTCGAGGTGACCACTACACAACATTAAGGCAGGATACACATTTGTGGCACACAATCACATGCATTTGAATAAAAACAGCTTTCTGAAATTTACCCAGTTTATTTCAACTAAATGTATGACTCTGGTAATGTCTCTTTTTTWATTTGATCTCATTTTGAAATTGAAGGCAGTTGTTTTTTTGTCAACATTTTCCCTAATACTTAAACCCTTAGAAGTGAAAGAGGGTCTACGAGCACATGTTCACACACATACCTGATGTGATGGATCTCTTGCTGAGTGTGTGGATACTGGCAGAGAGTCTTTACCAGWTCACTGCAGTGTGTTGTGCAGCCGTCTGTCAGCTCCTGCTGAGCAAAACACACAAAACAATTGCCGAGGACACGAAACAATGCTAGCAGCAAAACCACAAGCAAAATAAACCTTGTGATACAATGTGCGTGTGTGTACTTTGCAGCTGCGTTCACACTGCCTTCTGGTCTCTCTGGCCTCTTTCAGCTGGAGGTACGTGTCGTCTTCCTGCCTCTCTTTCAAGATGAAAAGACAAAAGATGTGAACACGGGTGTTCCTGCTTTTGTTTGATAAGTCAACACAGCAGGGCGAGGTGGGTTTTTTCACTCACTGAGACGTGTTTTCAGCTGGTCCACCTCTTTCCGCAGGTGTTCCAGCTCCTCTCTGTGAAGTTTTGAGTTCAAACTGAAGAAACACGGAAAAGAGCAAGGTTGTGACTTAATGAACGAGTTCTTTTTATGAAAATGTGAATACGTTTGTGAGCCGTCGCATCGAAACGAGGATGAAGTCTAAAAGTTGTATGTGGAGAAATAGGCAGATAGCTTTGATTCAAACGCTTGCAAAAATGACAATTTGTCAAAATATAACAAATTAATGTGTTATTAATTTATCATTTCAATGAACTGTCTGAAAACTTACTCTAAAAAATGTTTTGAAGCACTTTTTTGAGGATTAGCAAGCAAAAACCCAATTTTAAGGAAAAACGCCTTAAAAATGTTGAGATTTTCCCTGTGAGCTATCAAAGCTTTTGTTTCTTTCCAGCTGGGAAATCTCAATATTCAAATACT